ATTTTGTCTCTCATAGTTGAGGTATACCTATGATGAAAATTACAGGCCTCTCTCATCTTTGTACGTGGGAGAACTTGCACAATTGGTGGCTGACTAATACTTTTTTGCCCCACTGTATAGCTGAAATATTTATTTGCATGTATGGAAATGATTTATAAGAACCATTTATAGTAAACATTACCAATACAATCTTCAGCAAAATTAAATCCATAAAAAAATCGAAAAATCCAAAAAAGCAGTGCTAAATAATAAATAAAACCAACAAGTAAGGACATAATAATACAATATCCATAATTATACCCTAGAAGGTCCTAAACCAGTTAAAGGCCAAATTAATAGGGAAACCTTTAGGGCAGTTTGAAGGTTAATTGAATCAAAGTTCTACAAGCAGTGAAACATCAGTGAAAAGGCCTTGTGGCCACCTACCCAATTGCTCTGATAGGTGGATACAAAAGTATGGTCTCCAGTGTTGTTCTCAGAGTGGCAGTTAATATGACATAAGAACAGAAATGATGTCTGTACCTTTAAATTTGTCATCTAGTTGTTTTCTGATATATGTAGTTCTCTAAAAAGGAAATGTATGTTCGTTAATATAATGAACTAAAAAGTTACTTCACCATTTTTATAAAACTTTTCTTGTTAACATTTAAAAGATAATGTTCATGCTAAAACAATTTTATCTTCTGTTTAAGTATGATTCCCTGAGTGGAAGCATGTCATAATCTCATGCTTTTAAGTACAGGTAGTCCCCATTTGAAGTACGAGTCCAATTCCCAAGGTTTGTCCTTAAGCAAATTTGCATGTAAGCTGGAACAGTATTATTGTATTCTGTATGAGTAGTATTGTGTAATTAACTAGAACCATTGGGTATTTGACTCAAATCATTGTGTATTTAACTTGAATTTTGCTACAGTAGGCTCCATTCTTAACTATGGTTGTCTGTAACCCAGGCGTTCTTAACTTGGGGACTACCTGTAATTGGTCACTCAAGTAATTGGTTCTAAGTAATCCTAATGAGGTAATTGGTCGAACTTGGAGTTAGGTCAGAAAGTTAACAATATCATCCTATGTTTAGGATTATTATAACATAAATTAATTTTTATGTTATATGTATTACTTATTATGTTATACATTATACGTTATGTAATGTTATGTGTTATATAATGCCAACTAAATGTTAAGCTTTTAGGCTATGGGACCATCATGCAAACAGATGCAATGACCCAAGTACACCCCCATCACCAATCTTTTATTCCCCCCCCCCCGAAATCTCATGGAATTTCACCTGATTTAAGCAGTCTCATGCCCTGATCTTGCATAAACTATTTTGTGATTTTGATACTCTTGGACAAGATCTTGTGTGATTTAGCCATCTTCCAAGATTTCTTCTATTCCTCTATTGGTTTTTTTATTGTTTAAGGGGATCCATGGATAGTAGCAAGGGATGTCACCGATGTCTTGAAAACTGTTGCCATTGTGTTTCTAACTCCTGTTCATTCAGTCTTTCCCACAAAGCAGTTCTAATGCTAGAGAAGCTAGTTTTGTTTGGCCTGATGACTTTCAGTTTCATTGCTCTCATTTTCCCCAGCGATCATGTAAAAATATAGGCAGTGATTGTGCTTGTTCATCATTCCTTGTAAGTTTATCAGAACTGAGACATTCTGAAAGGTTGGATGCTGTGCCATGGGAGAAAAAAAAGTATGTGTGTGTGTGTGTACACACACAAACACACTGTTTCTTGCATTAATATAAAAGTATTATAAAGAAAATTTGAGACAGCTTTTAGGGCAGAACTCATTTTGCTTTTTCTCTATAGAATCTATATCCCCATTGACAGGACTTTTTTTTTTTTTTTTTGAACCAAGGTTAACCCTCTTCAGATGGCAGGTGTCTATTCCTCCAAAATGAGAAATTGGTTATTTAATGGTTTTGCAAGTGATGGTAGTACTAATTCCTGGTGCAGAGAATATAGAACAATCATCAATCTTACTTGTATTTCTGTTAAAATGTACAATCCAACTGCCTTCTACTCAGAGGCAATTGCTTTTGCATGCCAGACAAGTGGATAATCACACACGTAACTAGTCAATAAAAAGTTTATCATTTTTTGTGTATCTGTGTAATAGCCTGTGCTCTAAACAGAGGGATCTCTGCTAGCTCTTTTAACTTTTTGATTACAATGTGCTTCCTCAATTTCAAATGCTAAACAGTAAAAGGAAGCAAACTAGGGATCTGTGATTTTCTATTTCCTTTTTTTTTTTTGGTCTGAAATATATAAAGCCAGCTGAAAATAGTTTTGTCTTACAGTCAGTTTAATAGCTGAATCAGTTGAAAGAAAGCTTTCACTTATTTTACTTATTTTGCTTTTAGTGGGTAAAAGAATTCAGTGTAAATATTTTGATAGCTGTATGGTTATGTGATACAAGTCTGAAAAACAGGTACATAATTTTGGTGGGAGTTTTTGTAAAATTGCCCACAGTGGGGTATATTTTAAATGAAGTAGTTAGAGTAGTCTCATAAAGAATGTCAACTCTGACATCAATTAATGGAGAATTCATAAGTTACACTGTTAAGCCTCTAGTTAAGTGCTTGTTTTCCAACCTAATAATAAACATCAAGGAAATTAACACTTTTTTCCTGTAAAAATAATAGTAAGAAAATAGCACTTATATATTTGTGTTCTCTAAGCTTGTCTTTTAAACAATTATGTTCTAGATGACATGTTCAACTTAAGTGTTTCTTAATCAGTTCTCTATCACTTGGCACTGCCGCTTTGATATATATATTTTGTGGAGTTTAACTTTGTTACTTGTAGCAGATTTAACACACATTGGACAGAGGCTGCATGTAATCGATTCATGCAGTGATTATTTTCAGATTGCTGGAGAGTCCAATGCTGCTACCCTGCCCTACGTAGCCAGCTGTTGTTGTTTTCAGTTGCATTGATTGGTATAAACAGTGACAGCCAGGGAAGCCAGTCTCTTCCCCCATTCCGATCACAAAAGAGCAAACCTAAATATCACACAGTAAATTTTCCATCTGGAATTAATGTACACATTTTGGGAAAACCTTTGCATTTATCAGTGTGAATCCTTTACCAACTCTAGTGCATTCTTTTTTTTCTCCCCATGAAGTGCTTCTAGCTGGTTTACTACTTTGCACGTGCCACCATAATGCATTCGTGTGGAAATCATAGAAGGAGTAATTTTGATGCAGATGTCTTAGAGTAACAAAAGTAGTTCACTGCATGAAAACCAAACATACAATACAGGAAACAATACTTAATCTGTTCTGGAGCCTGAGCCTATTGTCATTCTGCAATGGAATAAAGGAGAGGGATTAATTTGAAGATGCTTGTGCATGACATATGGTAATTCTCTGCAAGAAGGAAGTGTCAGCTAGTGACCTCTAAATCTTAACATTGACCTCTGGTTGTAGAATGGTGTGTGCCATAAGGTCTGCCTGCCCTTTTATATGATAATTTGATTCATGAAGCATTAGTGAAGCTATAAAGTTTATGGCTGCCTTTGGACTGCCTTCACATTTGAAAAATAAGAAGAACCCCTCCACAATTCACAAAATGGCCATCATAAAATCAAAGAAGTTTTAATTTGACACAAACTATTTTGAATAATCAGTTTTTAAGTGGTTTCTCTACTAAAGGCATACATTTCATGGTCCTGAAGAGATTCGTTTTCAAAACGTTAGATTTGCCTCATCCTCCGACCAATTTTAAAAGGCCACAGTGTTCAAAACTGTGCTGTTTTCAAAGTGGTCATAATATGAATAACTACTAATACCTGGTTTATTAATGTAATAATTCTGTATTAAGGACAGGCACTGGTCATACTGATATACCTTTTCTGTCAGTATGCATGGGTTCACACTTCGTACTAAGCTGTAATGTGCCTTGGGTGGCTGAGTATGTTGTGTGAACCTACTAGTGTGATTTGTCAGTTATAGTTGTAGCAGAGGCCACGTATTTGTGGGATAACGAGGGTAGCACCAGATAGGGTGGTTTTGCAGAGTTTGAGGAGACAGAACCAGGACTTTTTTTTTTCTTTTTGAGGCCAAAGAGTTTTTTACTCCCTCCATTTGCCAGCCTTTTAGCAGCTTTAAGCCTGTTTTAGGATTTGTTCTACAAGGTATAGAACAAATCCAAAAATATTTATTGTTTTATTCAAATCCTTTGAATAGTTGGAAAACAGGCAACTGTTGCCCGTTTTGGTTGGAAGGGTGCTCTGCAACCTGCCCCCTCCCGAAAAGTTTGGAAGTCTCATGACCCCTTGGAACTTCCTTGTGCCCACCCCAGTTGATGGCTAAGGTTAACCCATACAGTTGTTTACTCAGTAAGTCACTGCTAAACAAACCGTAGCTTAGGTCAGTCTATGAACAAACATACTTGCCATCTCTGAATTCAGAACTGGCAGAGGGTTAGGGTCACATTTTGAATCACATTTTGGGGCACTCGAGTAACCAGGTAATAAGTAAGTGACTTATTTTTCTGTCATGGATACATTTCTTAACAGGTTCTTTTATACTGTTTCAGTTAATATAGAGAGTTTGGTTTTACTTTGTTCTTTAATAATACTAACCAATTTTGTTTTGCTTTGATTTCTGGAAACATCTGTCTTCATTTTCCTCTTTATTTCTTCTTTCCTACTCAAGTTGCTCCTGCTGTTTCTGCTAGCACTGAAGCTGATCACTCTGGCTCTGGCCCTGCTCCTCCTTTACATACCTGTTTCTTAGTAAATGAAGGTATTCTCACCTCCGTTCTTTCTACTTTGCCTTTTTTTCTTTTATCTGACTTGCTCTCTTGTTGTTGTATGCCTCTCTTAATAAATGCATTCATCCATCAAGCAGTTTAAAACAAGCTTCACTTAGCAACCTTTATTTATAACTAATACTTCATTTTAGTTGGTTAAAAATTATTCATTTTCTCTGCGTTTGTGGGCTGATCATGTCTTTTTAAAGTGACAACTGTATGCAATTTAAGGTATTAGATTATGAGATTGCAGAGATTTTAAAGTTGGTTGAATCTCTTTCATTTGGTGGAGGGAGGAGCCAAAGGATAACAAATGCAATTTTTTTTTTTTAAATATCCTGGCTGCTAAAGGAGGGGGTGAGGAATTGCAGCAAAATCACTTTTGTAGGCTCTAGGTTTGTTACAATGTGCATAACTGCGCTAATGATGACTTTTTTTATCTTTTGAATTCAAATGGTATTTTTAAAGAAAATTTCCAGGGTTGGTTGATGATGCTGTATTGTTAAGTGAGAAGCAAAAACTGGACATGCTTTAGAAAAACCTTGTGTTCTGCAAGTCTGTTTCAGAATTACATTTAACCAATATACACTGGTTAAATAAGAATTAAATGTATAGTGTGCCAACAAATAAAAACTGAACATGAAACTCTGCTTCACTTTCTGAAGGCGTACTGGTTTTAAATGATTTGTAAAACACACTGTGTGTGTGTGGGGGGCATGTGGATTGCTTCCAATTGTGTCTGTCTCCCAATGGAATGGATTTCCAGGACGGAGTGGATTCCGCAGTACCTCCCAGAACAGATTTGGAAGACTGAAATTGAAAGAAAGAAACAGGATGCTGCATGTCACTCTATAATGTATTGATTAACTTTCAATTATTTATGTGAATTATTCTCATTCACAGTGTAATCATTTTAACAAATAATAAAGACTGGTTTTACAACCTGGGCCCACATTATATTTTACTACTTTCTTATCATACCAAGAAAGAATAATTTAATTAAGTTCCTGTAGATCCAAGCTTTCCTTTAATCAGCAGCAGTCCAGTCTCCCTCTGGAGTGATTAAAGTATACAATCTGCCATGTAGTAGAGCTGAATGTACCTACATACCCTTTTTTGGGTAACATCTTGCAATTTTACTAGGATAAGAGAGTTTTCCCAGAAACATCTTGGTTCTAAGCAAGGGTCTCAAATTTAAATAATTGCAAGTAACACATGAGGGCTAGCTCATTTCATTTAATAATTAAATGTTAATCTATAATCTGTAGCCCTACACAAATGTTGCACAGTTGTAACTCGGCCCCAGTCTGACCAAGTGATGCACCATCAGAAGGGCAGATGGTCTACTATAGACAGAAATATTTCAAACAGAAGCTTCAGTTTTTCAGAACAAGCATAGAATTGCTCTCTTTCACCCCCCGCCCCGTCCTTTGACAGCCAGGTTGTTATAGCTTGTTCCTTCTCTTTCCTTAGCCCTGATGGCCCCAAAGAAACTCTTTTTAGCTTCTACCTAATAGGAACCTTACTGCCCTTTTCCACAGAAAATCTCCAAGTTACATCAGGGTTCCTTTCACCATGAGGTGGGCCAAGGCCGAGAGAAGGCTGCTAGAATGAGGTCCTCCCTCCCTCCCTGGAAGTGGACCAAAGAGAGGCACATAGTGCAAGTGTGTCATGACTCATGGTCGTAGGACCACACCATTAGCAACCAAGGCACTGGGACAATGCCTCAGCATGGCTTCACCTTGCTCCTCCCCTTGTGGTGAAAGCTGCTGTATTACTTCTGCTTTTTCCAGTTAGTCAGGCTGCTGATGGCAGCTGGAGCTCCTGAAAGCAGGAGCAGAACATGGCAGCAGTGACTGTTTCCCTCTCTTTCCTTCCTCTGGCATCCAGACCTTTTCCAGATGGGGCACACAGGCAGAGCTCCAGCCACTGAAGCTGGGCAGTCCAGCTCACCCTTCAGATGTCTTCTAAAGCTTTCTTGCCCTGGCGACTTCTCTTAGCTGAGGTGGGGAAAGTGGATCTGCCTTTGTGTTTATACTCCTTGCCAACCTGGCTCTATCTTTCCTTGGACTGAAAGGTTGCTGGAGTTCCACTTTTTAAAATGAACATGTCAGAAATAAATTCGTGCAGTTTAACGTTATGAATAAAAATAGGGAGTAAACGTCTAGACTATTGTATATTGGCACAGCAATAAATTTATTGTGAAATCAATTCCTTTTTAAAAATAATGGATTGGTGAATATCATAACTAGCACTGAACCTATGCTTTTAATGCTTTTTTAAACATTGAATGTAGTAGTATATGTCTTTATCTTGTAGATTTAATAGCTAGTGTACAGTTTTATTTTGGGTATGCTGTGTATTGCTTAATTTCTATTATATATTGGCTATGATCCTGCCCATAATGTGCTTTGGATTATAGCCTAGTTTATTTATTTATTTAAAATATTTATTGGCGACATCATCATCATCATCATCATTATACACAACAACATGAAATCACAGCTGCCAGTACTTCAGCTGGTGTTGGCCTTCATTCGCATCAAGTTCTTCCCAAGAACCCAGGATGTCATAATGTATTGGCGTAGTATATGTGCAGATTCAAGCAGTGTGGGCTTTTGTAACTGACAGATGGAAATTTTGTCAGTGCACGGATTTTCTAAGTTCTGTCCAAGGTTTTTTGGTACGGCACCCAGTGTGCCGATAACCCCTGGGACCACCACTGCCAGTTTATGCCATAATCTTTCAACTTCGATTTTCAGATCTTG